TCTTTACCTCAGGTGATCGACCTGCCTTGGCCTCCCAAAGTGCTGGGTTTACAGCATGAGCCACCGTGCCCAGCCAACACAGTTTTAATGAGAAAATCAAAACTAGGGCAAAAAGCCATAAAGGAATGAAATGTCCAAGTTTTAAATAAAAACAGGCTAACTTGAAATTCACTACCTTATTTTGCTTTCTATTTTTACAACTGAGCTATGCAATCCCTAAACACTATAGATTTATCTGTTTTTTGAAATCTATAGAGTCATATGTGATATATTTTGTGTATGTTTGGCTTATTTTATATACAATTATATATTTGAGATGAAGTTTTGCTCTTGTTGCCCAGGCTGGAGTGCAACGGCTCGCTCTTGGCTCACAACCACCTCTATCTCCCAGGTTCAAGCAATTGTCCTGCCTCAGCCTCCAGAGTAGCTGGGATTACAGGCTTGTGCCATCATGCCCGGCTCATTTTGTATTTTTAGTAGAGGCAGGCTTTCACCATCATGACCAGGCTGGTCTCAAACTCCTGACCTCAGGTGATCCTGCCCACCTCGGCCTCCCAACGTGCTGGGATTACAGGCGTAAGCCATCACACCCGGCCCACAATTATATTTTTAAGAAGGATATATACTGTTGCAAGTAGCTACTATTTTTCCTTCCTGTGTAGTATTATATGAATGTACCATAATTTACTTATCTAGTCTACTATTCATGGACATTTGTGTTGTTCACACTGTTTTGCTCTAAGGAACAAATATCATGATATACATATAAGTACATATGCCCAGGAATAAAAGGGCTGGGCCATAGGAAATACATATAATCTATTTTAGTAGCTAACAAAGTTTTCCAAAATGATAATACAGATTTATACTCCCATCAGCAGTGTGAAAGAGTTTCCCTTGTACCACATCTTTATTCACACTTGGTATTATCAGACTTTTTAATTTCTGTCAGTCTGGTGACTCTTTAGTGGTTAATTTGCATTTATTTGATTATTTTAAGATGTTGAACATCTTTAGTGGACACTTGACTTTTTGTCGAATGTCTTTCAAGTCTTTTGCCCACTTTTTTGAGACAGGGTCTTGCTCTGTCATGCAGGCTGGAGTGCAATGGCGCAATCTCAGCTCACTGCAACCTCTGCCCCGTGCCCCAACCTGGGCTCAAGCGATCCTCCCACCTTAGCTTCCAAGTAGCTGAAACCACAGGTGTGTACCACCACACTGGATTTTTTTTTCCTTTTAGTAGAGATGGGCGTCCCACTATGTCACCCAGGCTGATCTCTTTTTGAGATGGGGTTTCACCATATTGGCCAGTCTGGTCTCAAACTCCTGACCTCAAGTGATCCACCCACCTCAGCCTCCCAAAGTGCTGGGATTATAGGCGTGAGCCACCACACCCGGCTACCCAGGCTGATCTTGAACTCCTGATCTGCTCTCCTGAGCCTCCCAAAGTGTTGGGATTACAGACACGAGCCATGGTGCCCAACCTCTTCTGCCCACTTTTCTATTGGGTTGTGCTTTTTCATCTCTAAAAATTCTGTATATTTTCTAAATTCAATCCCTTTGATAGTTACACGTGTTGCAAATATCTTTTCTACTCCACAGCTTGCATGTTTAATCTCCTGATGAACAAAAATTCTGTCAGGTGGTCAACTTTTTTATGTGTGTGTATATGATGGAGTCTAGCTCTGTTGCACAGGCTGGAGTGCAATGGCAGGACCTTGGCTCACTGCAATCTCTGTCTCTCTGGTTCAAGTGATTCTCCTGCCTCAGCCTCCCGAGTAGCTGGGATTACAGGCACCTGCCACCATGCCCAGCTAATTTTTTTCTATTTTTAGTAAAGACAGGGTTTCATCACGTTGGCCAGGTTGGTCTCAAATGCCTGACCTCGTGATCCACCTGCCTTGGCCTCCCAATGTGCTAGGATTACAGGCCTTAGCCACTGTACCCAGCCAATATTTCTTTATGGTTAATTTTTTTTTCCAACATACTGTATATGTTTAATGCCACAATTTTGTTTCTTATTTAATAAATTTTTCCTTACATTGAATGATGAATAATGCTGCTACGCATATTCGGATACAAGTCGGGTAGACAAATGTTTTTTATCTCCCTTGAGTAGGTACTTAAGAGTAGAATTGATGGGTTAAATATAAAATATGTTTAGGCCAGGTGTGGTGGCTCACGCCTATAATTCCAGCCCTCTGGGACGCCAAGGATTGCTTAGCGCAGAAGTTCAAGATCAGCCTATAAAACATGGCCATACCCTGTCTCTATACAAAAAAAAAAAAAAAAAAATAGAGACAGTCTCTCTCAGTCACCCAGGCTGGAGTGCAGTGGCAAGGTCACAGCTCATTGCAGCCTCCCACTTCAGCCTCCCAAAGTGCTGGGATTACAGGCATGAGCCACTAAACCCCGCCCAGATGTTTTTCAGAGTGGCTGTAAGTCTTACATTTCCATCAGTAATGTATAAGCTTCCAGTTTTTTCATGTCTTCACTAACCCTTGGTATTAAAAGCCTCTGAAATATAACAATTCTAGTTTCTATGTACTGGTATCTCATTGTACTGTAAATTTGCATTTTCCTAATGACCAAAGATATTGAGCATCTTTGCATATGGTTATTAGCCATAGAGATCTCTTTTTGGTGAAATCTCTCTTCAAACTAAGTTGTCTTACAGAGTTGTAAGAGTTCTTTGGAACTAATCTAAAGCCAAGAATTTTCTCTGGTTTTAGAAATTTTATAATTTTGGTTCTAATATTTAGATCTATAAATTTTGCTCAATTTTTGTGTATGGTGTGAGGTTAAGGGCTAAGTTATTCCCCCACCAGCCCCCTCAAATATGAATATACAACTATCTCAATGCCATTTCTTAGAAATATTAGTATTTCCCTATTGAATTACCTTGGAACTTTTGTGGAAAAAATCAATTGACTATAAATGTAAGATTTCTGATTTACCCGTCTATAAATCTATCTTTTTGCCAATACCACACTGTCTGAATTACTATGTCGTTTTTTTTTTTTGAGACAGTCTCACTCTGTCACCCAGACTTGAGTATAGTGGCACGATCTTGGCTCACTGCAACCTCCACCTCCCAGGTTGAAAGTTTTCTTGTGTCAGCCTCCTAAGTAGCTGGGATTATAGGTGTCAGCCGCCACACCTGGCTAATTTTCTTATTTTTAATTGAGATGGGGTTTCACTATGTTGGCCGGGCTTGTCTCAAACTCCTGGTCTCAAGTAATCCACCTGCCTCAGCCTCCCAAAGTGTTGGGATTACAGGCGTGAGCAACTGCATACAGCTGGTTCTTTTTATTTCTATATAAATTTTGGGAAGAATCATCATCTTAAATTGTCCAATCCATAAACACAGCACATTTTCCATTTATTTAAATCTTAATTTCTCTCAAGAACTTCCAGTTTTCAGTATATAGGTCTCATATTTCTTTTAAGTTTATTCCTAAATATTTTATTCTTTTGTATGAAATTGTGAATATAATTGTTTTCTTTTTAGGGTTGTTTGTTGCTAGTATATGGAAACAAAATTGACTTTGGTACATAGATCCTGCAGACTTATTCACTTGTTTTAAGTTCTAGTAGTTTTCTTTTTGTAGATATCTTACGATTTTCTAAATGCAAGATCATGTCAATTGTAAATCAAGACAGCACTACTTCTTTATTCCCACAATTTGTATGACTAATTTTTTTCTTTTCTTTAAGAGATAGGGTCTTGCTATGTTTCCTAGGCTAGAGTGTAGTATCCTGCCTTAACCTCTTGACTAGCTGGGACTACAGGCACATGCCACTACACCTGGCTCTTTTTATCCCCCCAAGGTGGGGATTTTAATTTTTCTTGCCTTATTGCACTGACTAAAATCTCCACTACAATGTTCAGTAGGAGTAGGGAAAGCAAACATCCTTTCTTTCTTCTCCATCTTAAGAAAAAACAGTCAGTTTTCACCACTGAGTATGATGTTTTT